TCAGTGAGTGCTGTCTCGGTTTTCCAGTTAAAAAAATTTAAACCTGCCCTGTTCTTACAAATGTAGTATGTGGCTGCCCTGCATTCTGGTCTTTTGAGGCTTTCAGGGGTAAAGGGGTGAGGTTGGGATCTGTGCCTTTTTATGATGATTTCTTCCAGTATACAGTATCTGTTTAAAGCAGTATTTGGCCACTAAGTGGCAGTCAGAGAAGCTAACATAACATTGACTTTTTAACTATGCTATTTTGTGTTAATGTGCAAATGTGTTGAACAGCTATCTATCAATGGAGCAACATCAGCATCAATTTGAAGTCATGTTTCTGGCCAGCTAAAGAATGTAACAGTAATATTTTCTCTTCTTCCACCTCTGTTTTGGTCTTCACCAACTCCTAAAAAAAATATCTGGATCTCGGCAATTGGCGATCTTTGTTCATTTGCTAACATTTTCAGTGTGCTGTTTGGTGTTGGACAGGTCATGTACATTGGTTTATCAGCTGTTTGTTATAAACAGCCATCAGGATTGAGAAAAAGGTTATACAACTGAGTGAAAACAGTAAAGCTGAAATAAAAATATGCCATAAAACCGAAACAGTGAGTTGAAAGATGCTAAAACTGCTGTCGAGCTGAGATGATGATTCTCTCAGGATGATTGGTCACATCAAACCCTTTCATTTTACACATTTGACTGATTGTTAATAAAAGAGCATTGATTAGGTCACATTTGGTTTCTAAAGAACTAAATCTAAAACTGTGTATTTCAGACAGTTTTTTTTTAAATACAGTATATAGTCTCTGTTTTTGCCAGAAATACATTAGCAGTATCTTAGTGTAACATCTATTTAATCAGTTCTGTAGCTACAGTATTTGTTATTGTTATTGAAGTATTTTTTCCACCTTAGTTAAGTGTTAAACTAATGTACAATATAGAAAATAGGGTGCACACCAAAAAGACTGCCCAGTTACCTGTACAATGTTACCAAACAGAGTAGCTGCACTATAAGTTGCACTAGATATCAATAACCTACCATCATTTTAAATTTTGAACTCTTGCTGTTTGTGCCCTTGAACTCCACCTTTCACCTTTCACCAAGTTTGTTCAGTTGCTAAAACAGACACAAAGGCCACTGTGTTACCTCTGGTGTGTGTGGTCTGCAGTAATTTAGCATGGTTCATCACCCACGCATAGACACAGAAAAACATTTTGGGATTTGGCCACAGAGCAAGACAGTGTTTAGACTACCCACAATCCCCTCCTCCCCTTTGCTTGGCTGCACATCTCCTGCACTCAGAACATTGGCCAGTGGCCTGAGCATTGGGTCCCTTCCTGTGTGCTATGTTGGGTCTGACAACATTGTGAAATGTTTATTATCAGGATGAACATAAATGTGCACATGAGGACTCACAGTGAAATAGCTTAGATAAGAATGTAAATGGAGCACTGGTAGATGCAGCTGTCAACATGTGGCATCACATCTGAGACTGTTTAACCCTCAGGAGTCGATGATCATACGTACATGCTGATGTTGAATGTCAAAGTGTACAAATAATTGTCAGGTGAAAAAAATGAGGTTGTGTGGATGTTAAACATATTCTCATGTGATATATATAAAGGTAAAATAAAAGCTATTAAAAATTGGCCAAAATAGCCAAAAATATTCCAAGACTCATAATGATTAAAATTATTGAATATGTGTGCTAAGCATTTTTTTACAATTAAAAACTATAAAAAAATGTAAAATATTGACACATGCCACTTAAAGACTCCACCACCACCCCCAAAGAGAACTGAGAAATGTTTGTTGCTAATACTGCTACTGTACAACACTTTGTTGTCATAAAATCATTTTAAAGATTTTAAACCTCTTCAAAACCATCTTCAGATTTAATCATAAACAGGACAATCTGACTTGGCCCTGATAATAAAGCTCCCATGGTTGTAATTATTATTGTGCCTATAGTATATCTTTCTATGTCCTCTCTCCATTTGTTTTGGGTTACAGTACATACTTCCATCCCACTGTCACCAGTTTCAAATGACTTCCAGTAGTTAAAGCAGCAGCCACCTTAAAAGACAGTCTGTAGAAGTACTTTGTGTTAATGGTTCATATTCCTCACCTCATTCCTGCCATTGGTCCCAGAAACAAGTGATAATGATATATCTTACACCATAATGGGTGTGAACGCGTGTCGTAGTGGCTGGCAGAGGAAGGGTGGAGTGGGCAGAAGTGTCAACTGAGTGACTACTAACATGAGATTAAAAGTAAATCCGCGAGACAGGAGAACTTAATCAACCACACTTAGTGTAGACATATATTATACCCCATGAGTTGCAAGCAAGCTGTAAATACAGTATGTGTTGGGTACGCCTCTTTAAATCTTGTTTGTCTCAGTTGATTTACTTCAGTAGACAAGGACAGGCTTGTTTACCTGACCTGAGTACTTAATGTGTCAGCTGGAGAAAAGTGACCTCAGTGGAGCAGCTCAGACAGGCCACCTAAACGCTGAAGCGAAACCTCACTTTCTGTAGAAAGCTTTCTTTGTGTAAAGGGCAAAAATACAGCGCACAGTAGAGCAAGGCAAAAAAAAAAAAAAGTCTAATTCCACCCTTAACACAACCCTAAACACAACTTGTGATGAAAAAACAAAAACAAAATGTCAAGTTTATTCCTGGCAAATGCTGTGTATTCAACAGAATACACTACAGTATAAGCCTATGCTGCTAGTTAAGCTGGAAAAACACCAAAACACTGGAGAAGTGGGACAGACTGTCAGGGCCAAAAATCTAACTGTGGGTGATTGTGAAGTTTTGATAACACTTTCTTAAGAGGCATAGATTGGTAACAGGCCATTAATAGCTTTTGCCGCCTAATATACAGGAAAATAGCAATCTGCTAACATTTCACATTTCTTACTATTTCCAAATATTTCTCAATATGTTCTGATTAGACCACATAATGAAAAGATTTTCAAAACATACAAATTACATAATCACCAAATGCAGGTACAGTCTCAAACAATGTTTCTGCAATAAAATTTGCAACTTAATTTGAAGGCTGCTAATTCACTTTGGTGTCAGTGTGATCATGATGTAGAAGTACATTTAAAAATACTGCTCATTCATTTTCCTCCATTTTGTATGCAACACAAGAACTTGTGTTTCCAAAGATCAGCACAGCTTGGATCAACAAACCTGAGCCTTCAGTGCACCTGTGCTTTACTCTGCACATGCAGGACCATCAAAACAGACCATCTACTCAGTAATGAAGGAGGCACATGCAAGGCCTATAACCTACTGTATAAACTCAAAAGTGCTAAAATCAATAGAAAAAGGTTTCATATTTTATAATGCTATCAGGTGTGCAGTTGCAATTATACATTAGTATAATAATTCTAGTCCCCTGTAATGGGTTCCCCCACTACTGTGATTCATAAGGTCAGAGATTATAAATGTTAGAACTTTATGAATATATTTTGGTTCACACAAAACAAATTTTCACAAACTGGCAACCTGTACATGTGACTTTTCACCTTAAATGACCTATAAAACAAATTATCTACTAGCTTTCTATTTCTATTAACATTTCAATAAATTCATATTTGTTGTTTGGGTCCAATGCCCTACGGCTGTAGGCTGTTATGAAGCTTAAATCTTGTAGTCTGAAGTAGGCATAAGAGATGTTTTAATATAGATCGGGAATGATTTAAAAATATTTCATCCTTCTCTTTTAGCGCCCTTCCAGCTGGTGCCACTGTAGGTAAATGTATCTGTATCTCTCCCATCTCCTCTTTTGCTTTTGTAGCTTTGGAACCAACCTTTAAGTGCAGAACTTCCTTTAGCTGCATTTTGTAAGTTCAGGAGCAGGGCCACACCTCCACCACACCTCTTCCTGCCTGCTACCTACATATACCTCATTACCTTCTCTATTGGCTGCTTTCTTTTTATTAGCCATTTACAAAGTCATTACCTACAACTTATAAACATTTTATACTCATTATGTCTAAATAGAAAATAATTCCAAGGAACAGAAGTAAATGCTGATTAAATTTCCCATCTCTCTCTCCACTAAGGAGCAATTTATCTTGTCGGGGGAATTGCTTAATGTTTCCTTTTAGAGCATTAGCTCTGGATTTTCCAAGCTTAAATGGTCTTCCTAAATGAGAAAACAGTGCTGTGTGTTCTCCTTACAGATCATGTGCTGGCCACATGTACGCTGCAGTGACATCACCCTTGGGCAGCACAACAACACCATGCTAAAAGGGCTTCATTCACAACTACTGTTTAACTGGCACTAAATGATGCCTGTGTAAGTTAAATAGAGTTTTTCAGCATCTGTAAGCTGTCCACAAACAGACACAGCCCCACAGTGTAAGACTTTGCACAGCATTGTGTATGGGTAGTTATTACAGTGGTGCATCCATTACATGAAATAACAACAGTGGGGAGACAGAGGATTAAGCAGAATGAGCTTGCCTGGCCAAATTTATCAGGAAGGAAGAGAGGGAATTTGTACTATTTGCAGAGGGATGTGTTGCTTCATATACTGGACAATGGTTAAAATACTACTACAGCTTGTGAGGACATGCATTCACCCCTTTTCTAAACGGCAGACACACACTGATTGAAATAAAGGTGCCCCTCCCCCCCACACATACCTTCCTTCCCCTTTTTCCTCAACCTGATGCAGTTCTGAAAAATAAAAGACACAAAAACAGAACTGGACAAAGAATGAACTGATTTTGCAGACTTAGAGTTTGGGAAAATAATGAGAGGGTATGGATGTGTGATAGATGGCATGGATGGAAAGGCTGCTGGCTCTTATCAGATGTAGGCAGTCGCAAAGTCAAACAGGGGAGGGGAAGACTGCACACACACCCACTGTACATATCAGTTCAGGGAGGAGAGACAGCCAGACATCCCATGAGGCATCTGCCTTTCTCTGAACAGTACTGTTTTTGTTTTTTTTTACGCTACGGCACCGGAAGCAAGGAGGATCCTCAAACACCACAGAGCCACTTCCAAAAATCTGAGCTCTGGTTAGAAGAGAGGACAAACATGCACAGGTGCTGCTAGTGAAAGAGAAGCCAGTGAGAACAGAGAGAGAGGAAGAAGAGGAGGGAGTGAGGGGGCTGTAGGAGGAGACTTGACTTGCTTCAGAGAGGAATAGGAGCTGGGGAGCCATTCCAAAACAACTGTCCGGCAGACATCCCAGTCGACAGAAGTTTAGCTCCAAGGCAGAGAGGCAGGGCAGTGTCAACAAGCCACAGGAGAAGCACAGCAGCCACCAAGAGACACACAGAGACACATCAACTGGCCTGGAGCTGTAGGAATCAGGAAAACACCAGCGATACCTGCTAAGGATCAAATTGGTTTATCTGAGGTGAGAGGAATAGCATGTTTTATTTCACAGTCTGTTGGTACAGTAATCTGAATCAGTAGATGGGATAATGCTGCTGAAGTTTACCTGTTGTGTCTAGTTTTTTTGTGAATGTCTCAAGCAGAATGAGATATTTCTTGTAACAGTGAAATATGCGAATGTGTGGATGGTCAGTCAATCATGTCTTTTGTCTAGCTCTCATACATGTAACACAAGAAATGAACTGTTAAGAGCAACATGATATCCTCCCTGCTTTCCAAGAGACACTTTTTAGTCCAGCTACACACTTAAGGCATGTTCCTCTGAAATGCAGAGCTGGCTTTGGCTTTATCTCTTGAGGGGGGCAGATTTGGGGAATTTCACGGGTAAACTGGGAGGACTTGTGTTGACATTCCCTTCATGTTTCATATGCTTTGATTTGATTTCCTGCCCATCTCTGCCAAGGATAACTCTGGCAAGTGCTGGTGGCACAGGGGGAGCGGGAACGAAAGACAGAACAAATATGCCACCCTGCCATCAGGCCTCTTGAAATTAAGGCCTTTGTCTATAATTGAAAGGTTTTTTATGTCACAAACTATTCTGTGAGGTTACCATTACCCTTTGTGGAATGTAAATTAGTTTTTCAAGACAACCCCAAAGAAAGGGTCTTTTTGCTTTTAAAAGACATGGCAGAAGTTGAGGTCAGTCAGTCGTTAGAGAAGTATTTAGAGAAATGCAATGGGAAGAAATGGAGTTAGTGTTCTACACACTGATGATGTTACACTGACCACAGCTACTACAGAAGATCAGAATAGCATGCTATTTTTCAACAGCACTGAAATGTCAGTACAGAAATCCCATCACCGTAGGAATATTTAGGGGGTGCACAATTTCTATTTTAAGGAATGGGAAAGCCATAAACAGGTCATATTTTGAACAGCTGCTCTCCTGAGCCTGACTGTGTACAGCCCTCTCCAGCTATGGAGCAGTTGGTGAACAATAAAGCATCATCAAACTGTAGCATTTGTTTAGACTAGGCTTACACCACAACTAAGAATATTCTGACCCAGTTATATCACACATGAGTTTTAGCTGTCCAGAAAACAAATCACAAGATATGAACCCCACATTCATCTGCCCCCACACTCACACTTTCATCACCTCGTTCCCCCCCTACTATTAATCAACCCTCTAAGCATGATGATGATGAGGCAAAGCTCCAATTTTAAAAAGACTGGAGTGGCTCCAGATCACTTCATGCCCAGACAGATAGCTGCTGCTGACCCAGTGGGACAGTGGCTGCAGCTTTAAACAGTTTTAAAATAAAGTTGCCATAAGATCCTTACTTTCCTTGAGGTGTAAATGAAATCCCAAGACCTTATTCTGCAGATGCCAGCGCCACTGGTCTCAGACCAGTCAATACGTGCCACGCTGCCTCTTTTTGGATGAGTTTCAAAAGGAGGGTGTGAATCTGGCTTTGGCTTTGAAATATACCAGAAAACACCTGCTCAGCTATTAACAGCCTGCAGAGACACAAATTGATTCATTAGGGTAGCAGGCCATAACGATCCATCCTGGGATACACTGAGCTGTTGTAATTGACTAATTTCCTTTTGGACCAAGACAAGCTTCACTAACTATGACTCTAGAGAGTCTCCACACCCCCTCAGATCAGTATTAATAAAGCCAGCCTCTGGTTAAATTACCCCACCTACTGGGTATGCAGCAGAACCCTAAAAACCAACATCAGGATATTGTTTTCCTCATGCTTTTCTGGCAGCTGCTGGAATCTCATTCATGTTTGCCATAAAGGCACTGTACCAGCTGACTTCTCACAGGCCACAAGTGTTAACCTTGGTAGGATGCATAGCAGATGTCCTCCTGTGAGACTTGGGTTGCTCTGCTGCTTGAGGAGTCCCTGTAGGTTCTGTCTATACTATCGACCTCAACCATTATCATCTATTATAATGCATGGGCTGGGTGTTTTCTTATGCCGCTGAAGAGCGGAGGGTCCAGACACATATAATTTGATCAATACAGACCAATAATCAATAGGAAGCGTGTCACCCAGCAGTGCAGCAATGACCTTCCTGTCTTGGGAACAGTAAAACAAACACTAACACAGAGAAAGATATGTTCAGTTTGAACCCATTTAGGAAACAGCTTTTGTCTTGGTGGTGCATTTGTTTCACTTCCTATCTACAGTAGGCCCATATGCCACTGCAGTAGGCATAAGCTATCAAGGTCAGAGAGAACTGAGGGGTAGCTGTGAAAGGTAGAGATGCTAAAAAAAAATGAGAAAAAAATGGGTGGAAGAGAAATGGAAGGAAAAAAGAAACACTCGAGCTAAACAAGTGAGATTTACCCCTCCAGTTCAAATACTGCAGCACTCCTGTTTGCACTCCCACTTCCCTTTTCCTTTCCTTTTCTCTCTCTCACTGTTAACAAACAAACACGCTCTCCTTCACACACATGGCGTCTCTCACAAGTGCAATCAGACACTTCACACTCACACCAGCACTCGAATACACAAGAACTTTTGGCGAGCAGTGCTACTATTCAACACACTCACACATGTTCTGCATCCCACAGTGTATATATATAGCACCTTAGTGCTTGTTGGGTGAGAGGTTTATTTGTATTGTAGCAACATCCCCTAAAGTGAGAAGATTTTACCTTGTACTCTATATACTGTACTGTAACTTTCATACGGCAGATGCTATAATGACACTTCATCATTAAACAAGCTGTAAACATAAGAATCCCTGTTCAAAATAAAAGTCAGTTAGGTGGTTTCCAGGCTGCTATTTGGATTCAAATGCACAAGTGTATGTCTGTCTGGCTCCACACTAATGTGCTTGCTAAATCAACATTGCCTACTTAAAGTGTCTCTGATAAGGGTGATGCAGTGTGTTTCTGTGGGGTCGGTTGCAACAGGAATGTGGATGTTTTCTCAGTGAAACCTTTTTCTTGAGGTGGACTTGACCGCCCAGAACCTTCTGTGTACTCTGTCAGACAGTCACTGCTGACAGACCTCTCATAAGTAAATATGTCTATAAATGGGCACGCTCTCTCCTCACTGTTGCCCCCCCTCCCCATACCCTCACTCCCCCAATCTTACACACTGTCAACACCCTTCCTCCATGAAGTTTTTTCCCTTCTCCTTGTTTGCTGTGTCATCTCAATTGGTTAAACTGATTTTCTTGTGTTTTTACATCCTACAATAAAATGGCTGTGAATTTCTGTTGGGTTTGTGATGGGAAAGCTCTGAGAAGGTAGCAAGCAGCTTTTATCAAATCCAAAACCCCCTTATTAATGCTTACCTATCATGATGGATTGTGTGACCTAGCCTGAATCTCAGCTATTATTAAATATGGAGCTGATCCTCTGCCCATCAAAGCCAAATCAGTTCACAATCTGCAGCTCCTTTTTTCTTAAAATCTACTTGCTCTGTAATCTTTCATTCTATCTCTCTCACACAATCGCCTTAAACCCCCTTTCCCCTCACCTTTCTTCCCCCTCCGGTCCATCTCTTTTTTTTCCTTTGTGCATCTCTGAGCAGTAGCTTGTTCCTAAAACAGGCTGCCCTGCACTGATCCCAATAAAGCCCCCTCTTTGCATCACTTCTCCCAGTTTGCTGTCCAGCTGTTCCACATTAGCACATCCAGCGTTCTAGAGGCCAAAGGAGGCTCATGTGTGGAAATGTGAATAGAGCAACAAAAAGTCTTGGACCCAGGCTTCATCCTCCTCTGCTCTGGTTTCTAATCTCACCAGATGCAAGAAAAGAACAAGGATATGTGTGTGTGTGTGTGTGTGTGTGTGTGTGTGTGTGTGTGTTTCAGGATCCAGACTTTATTTCTGGGACTTTTGTTGGTGACCAGACTTCGTTTCAGGAAGGCAAGACAGAAGTTTTGTGTCAGTAGCTGCACTCATCAAAGGAACCTTCAGAAAATGTATCAATGTGGAGTTCATGTTTTAGAAAAATGCTAATATATTCTCTGTTTATCTCTGATTTCAGGACAGTGCTCGTTTGATCTTTCTAAACTGCCAGACATCACCAGCCCTACTTGCAATCCCATTTCCTGAGTGATACCTGAAGTTTCTCCGAGTCCTGTCTTACTGGTGTGTTACTGAGAATGTAACTGGAGAGTCTCCCCTGGGGAACTGTAGCATCCTGAATGTATAGAGCATTTCCATCTTTTTTATCCTGCACATCTGAGCTCTCTTCCACATTTATAGCCATGCCAGCAAAAGCCCCTATATACCTGAAACCCACCAATAATAAAAAGGGGAAAAAATGTCGCCTCAGAGATATTTTGTCCCCAGACATGATCAGTCCACCGCTCGGGGATTTTCGCCACACCATCCACATTGGCAGGGGTGGGGAGAAAGATGCCTTTGGAGACATGTCTTTCCTCCAGGGGAAGTATGAACTCCTACCAGGAAAGAGGGATATTCACCCTCAGTATGGCATCCAAAGTGAGTTTTTCCGAGCCAACAGTACAGGTGATGCTTCCTTTGCTGAGATGCCCTCTCCTGTACTCAAGAATGCTATTTCTCTCCCAACCATTGGTGGCTGCCAAGCCCTTACCCTTCCCCTGATCTCCTCCACTGTGTTTTCCATGCCCCCTGAGCCACTGGAGAACATAATGGGGCCTACAAGTCCCATGAAACCTGAATGTGTTGAGGAGGTAGAGATTCTGCAGATGGATGCTCTGTTGCACTCCATGGATGTCTTCTGCAATGAGCCTTTGTCTCCCTCTGCAGATATCCAGTCAAAGCCTGACGTCTTGTTGGATCTGCTAGAAAACACAGATAAGTCCACAGTTGCCAAAGCTAACAAAATAAACAAGACTGAAAGCAGATTTGACAAGCCATCATCTTTTTATATCAATGGTCCCAGCAGCAGCACCTTCAATGCTAACGGAAGCCTGAACAGCAAGACGAGTGGGGAGAGCATCAGGAGCTTTAGCAGTAAAGGGGATTTCCAAAGCAAGATCTGCAATGGTAGCAGAAGTCTCAATGGCAATGCTTTATGCAATGATTATGGACACTTTAACTGTGACATTACCCTGGGTTTCAAGCAGGAACTCTTCAAGTGCAGTGAAGACTGGGTGGACAGGGACAGTGGGGTTGAAGAGGGTCGCATCTGTGATTTTGAGTTTGAGTTTTCCAATGAGAAGAGCACATCACAGGATTCCCTCGCCCAGATCACGGGGTCATTCCTCTCCCTTGAACTTGATCTGGGCCCATCCATCCTGGATGATGTACTTAACATAATGGATAAACCCACAGCAAAAAGCAGGCCTTGAGCTGTGTTGAGTCCCCAGGAGGAGAAAAGGAATTATTAAACGATAGCCATGAGTATGGAAAGGCTCACAAAGCAATCAAAATGGTGTCCGGATATATCATTGAGATGAAAATGAGCTATAATAGACAGAGCTGCTTATGTTTTTATTGTCAAAACATATCATTCTACCTTCTATGGAGTGTTGTCTTCTTTTTTCTTTTAATTTTTTTCTTTGCCATGCCGGCTGCATGTTTACGATGCATGTGCTATTGAGTTACAGCTAAAACACAGCCACCATGCCTTTGATTTTAATTTACTGTAGAAATGTTACATGATAGATGTGTTATGCTGACTTTTACAGTATGTACCAGAACACTTTAAGGTCCTTTGCTTTGTAACAGTCCTCTGTTCAGTCCTCTATGGCCATATAGCATTTTGTGATTTTAAGTGTGCTTAACAAAGGACTATGTTGTTTGTCACATGTAATTAATTTGCCACATGACAATTTAAAAAAAAAGGAAACTATGCAAATTTGTGTTTTTCGAATTGTAACACAAATAAATTCATTTTGTCCAGTTATGGATAATTTCTTGCAGGAAATGTTGTATACCCAAGAAATGAAAGTTTTCACCAAAAAATTATGAAACAAGATGACACAAAAAAAGCCTTAAAATCAGAATAACACTGGGGAAAGAGGTAGCACAAGAAGGGAAATACAAACAAGAAAACAGCAACAAAAGAACAAGCAGAATGACAGAGAGAAGGATAGAATGGATTTATTTTCTCGCCTCTGACATTCCTTACATTCTGCCTCCTTGCCCTGCAGTGGGAGCACCGATGGGCCTTCATCTGCCCAACAAGGCGCCTGCCCCATTTGTTTGCGTGTGGATGGGACAGGCAGAGGAGGGGTCTTTGAAATTCCCTGCATTCCAGCCACAGAGTACAAGTGTCCAGGACCAGACATAAATCATCTGTTTCATGTGAGCAGGGAGGGCTTAAGTCTTAGTGCAACAGTATCCATCAACTACCATGCATAGAGAGATGAAGTTATAAAATGCATGCTTACAACCCACAAGCAAATTTTTTTCAGCACTGAACTATAGATGAGCCTTCTCTTTCTCCAATAGCCTGAAAGAGCAGGGCAACACTGACTACCCATACATGTAGCCTCTTAAACTCAACCACTCCTTAGTGGTGGCCCCCACAACCTGATACTCTGTCCCTATGGACCCTTCAGGACAGGCATAAGTCATAACAAAATCCTATGGAGGCTTACAGCAGGCTTGTCTAAAACACTTACCCTGTGTTATGTTTGTTTAGAAGAAACAAGATAATCTTAACTATGCCTGTAATACCTAGCTAATTTATTATGCATGAAATTACCTGGGCTTGATCCCTCATATGTCATTGAGGGGGCAGGTGTAGCAAGCTTCTCCGAATCCCTCAAAGGCCTCCAAATGTCCTTAAACAACCGTGACCAGCCCAGCTAAAGTATCTGCCTCAAAGCCAGATGCTACAGGACATGAATATTTCCTCATGCCATGGCAGATACACCAGCCACTGGAAAAACCCAGCATTAGTGCTAAAGAGTTTGCATATGCTGAGCTAAAGCATAAAACCTCTAAGCATGATTAATCATAACCTTTGCTGTCATGGTAATTACTGTGCTTATAACAGCAATAGTACACCACTGACTTGATGACAACTTTAGTTTTGACAGACGTGGACCCCAAGCAAATTCTCTTTGGTTTACAGAAGAAATGGTGACCGCAGCACTGTAGCATGTTGTGCAACATATCAGAAGTATTTCTGCGGAGATGCCAAAGGTCTCTGACACAAGATACCAGGAAATACCAGTATTTTATAAAATCCAACACAAATATTCAACATATGTTACAGCCTGAACACTGCTTTGTTATTCTAAGTCAAGCACCCTACATGAAATGCAGAGGGAAGATTTTTGCTTGTCTGATTGACCGATTGGCTTTGTGCTCTCATGTTTTAAAGGTTTAGAGCATGTAAGATTGATGTTTCTATTATTTTAAAACCTAGACTAGATAACTAATCACTGTATTTGGATTTAAGAGTGTTGGCTACTGGCACACCCAGAATGTCTTGTCTTAATTCAAGTTTTATTTTTCTCTAGGAGCATGAGGGCAGAAGAGAAACTACCAGAGATGAAAAGTAGAAATAGTTCTGGTGGACTCTTCCTCATTAGTACAAGGCCAAGGTGAAAGCTTGACCTGAAGAAACCTTGACTCCAACTGCCTCTAATATTCCATGTTAACATCACAAAGAGGCTGTACAGCAACACAATCAGACAGCTCACTGTGACACCCACAGAGTTAGAGGAGAACAATATTCCACTTGTTTGACAGGAAAGTTACAGCTTAGCTCAACTTGGCTTTGTGTTTTTTTTCTAGAATCACTCTTGAGAAAACAATCACTGAAAAATGAATGTTTCCTTTTTAATTCTATTTCTAAACCTTTGTTTACACATTCATTTGGAAGTGATACTGGGAAAGCCCAATTTCTAAATTCTGTCTTTTTGACCTTGATGCTGTGGTTTAGTGAGTTGATGAAAATCATGCATGGAGAGATTATGAGACAAAGTGTCCTTGGGAATGGACATGTACAGTAAAAGGCTCCCCTCCTATATATGTAAAAGCAAAATCCACAGATTTAAGAAGACATGTTTTTGGTTGTTTTGTGTCTTTTTGATCATTTTGTCTCTTTGTAGTCATGTTGTCATTGTTTTGGGTTTTTTCTTGATATTTTGTGTTTCTTTTTGGTTGATTTCCCAGCTAGAAATGTTGCCTATCAATTTAAAGAGAGGCCCCCTGACACTGTGGGCTCCTGGGCCTGTGCCCAGCAGGCCCCTACAGTAATCCATCCATGGAAAATAACAACAACAAATACAAATTTTAAAGTATGTTAGAATGCTTTGGTTCTAGAAAATATACTTGTTTTGTGAGGCACATTTGATCATATAAAATAAAGTTTATGAAGACAAAGGGCCACATAAAGACCAAAGTATTTGCCGTTACATGTACACTACAAGGTAAATCAACATTTCATGAACACTCTTCCAGAATATCCATGATCCCAGGATCCAGCTTCTCAGATTCCTGGGCTTAGGTAAAGCTGTCAGTTCACAGATGAATAAGCCTTGGCCTAGAGGCCACTGGTGCCAAAGAAAGCACAACTCAGACCCAGCAAAATCTTCCACCCATCCTCCACAACTGAGCTGCATAATATGCACACTGTCTTCCACATAAAGGTGTCCGTGAAGGAACGCCTCAGTGCTGGACTTGAGTGGTGTCAGCAGACAAGAGGGGAACTTTATTAAGATGTTTCTCATGTACTGGTACTGGGTGGAGACAGCAGGGACGTGAGCTGCAGAATAAGGCTTGTCTCGTCTTTACCTACTTTAATGCTACAGCAGTAATTGCGCCCAAATACAGAGACAGTGCTTTCTATCCTGTCAACATACTGGGTAGGAGGAAATGTCTGAGGTATGAACACAGCTTTTCTCAGAAATGTTAGTTAAATATTTCTCTTGCCTGCTGGAGCGATATCATTCACTGTTGATATATACTGTCCATACTCCAAAACTGAATACCAAGACTATGATAGTCAGGGCCTCAGTTGTAGATGTTTCTTGGGAACATTTATTTTGGGATGCTGTGCTTGTAATTTAGAATCAAGTGTTCTGCAGATCTGATGATCTGACATCACAGAGCCGCAGCTTCCTTTCATAAGACAGCAACAACAGCGTACAGTAGGGACAATATTTTCTCAGGAATGAATACAATAAGCCTTAGTAGTGGGTGATGCAGTGCAGATACGAGTGAGCTGTCAGTGGAGCTGTAAAAATGGGTCCCGGAGAGAGTCTGGAAGAGGCACAGAAAAGAGGTAAAGAGGAGGCACAGGTCACTGAGGCAGTGCCGGCCTTTGACAATCCAGTATCAGAAATAACCTTACAGGAGGAGCTGCAAGAGGCCATTAAATGGATTGTCTCTTTACAACTAGAGGTCCCACAGGAAAAACAAGAGTATTTGAAAGAAATATTGGAAAGCCCACTGTTTAAGGAGGTAGAGTCCAAAGAAACAACAGACAAGCCAGAAAAAGATGGAAAAGTGTTACTCTACTCAAAGGAAACCACACCAGTGACAAAAACTATCCTGGTGTAGGAAGAAGAGGAGGAGTTGATGGTAAACTTGTATTCCCCCCATTACACCTGGACCAATGGAAACAGTAGACCTTTGGGAAGAGGAGAAGAAATGGAGGAAAATGCAGAATATCTGTTCATGGATGAAAAATTAATGATTTAATGAACAAAACATGTAAAAGTACGGAAGAGTATAAAAGTGACTTTATAATTAGAGTGAAATGTTTTAGTGAGAAAAGGAGAAGAAGACCAAATGAGGGAAAAAAACAACACTGAATCAAGTCAAGTCAAGATTTTTATTTGCCATTTATGCATAAACAGACTAGGCATATAGGAATTTTTGTGCAGCTCTCATTTGGAGTCAGGTAAGGAGTCAAAAGCCAGAAAGAACACTTAGTCTTAAAATAAAAAGTTACATAAAGGCAACAAAGTATTAAAAACCACAATACACAAAAACAGGATAATAATATTTTCCTCAGTGAACTTCAAACATCACACTAAGTAAGTCACATGGTGGAGTTGGACACATCATTACGCTTGGTGAGGTAGTGAGGGGTTATAACATACTAAAACACAGTTTACTTTCAGGCCTGTTTCTATCACTTGATAGAGAATGTCCTGCTGTACCTGAGGCTCTAGGTACAATTTTTGTGTCTGAGCAGGGAGAGAGCTGGGTGGCATGGATCCCTGATTATGTTTTCTGCCCTTTTACGACAGCGCTGTGTGTATAGTGTGTCCATAGCAGGCAGTTCAGTCCCAATTATCCTCTCTGCAGTCTTTATGACCCATTGAAGAGCCTTCCTCATAGAATCATGGTGACAGTTGGTGGTTGCAGGCACTCTCTGGATGTGGAGCAAGAGTGACCAAGAAGATAATGCAACAGCTTCAATTGACAAACTGTCTGAAGGCCAGAGATAAGTGACTATTGGCAAAAAATGGAAGTCTGTTTGGAGAGGATGAAGCCTATGTGACAAGAACTCTTTAAAAAACACAGGAAAAAATGAGCAGGAACTTGTTCAGCAGTTGCTGCTGGAGGCTCTGTCTGGTTGTTTTTCTAAGTTCCAGAAGACCAAGAAACTACAGAAAAGCAAGCCGAGAGGACATCTCAGTTGTGGCTTCTTCCCTACAGGCCACCCTGGCCTGTGGGGGTGGAAGGAGAAACAACAGAAGAAACAAAGCGGCTACCTAGAGCAAGAAGTCAACGATAGATGTTAGAACTGTTCAATAAACTCCACACTCCAGCAACAAATATGTGAGTCCCTACCTAGAGGGAATCTACAAAGGAATAATGATTTTCAGCAAAGTGCCAGAACTACCAACTTGAACCAACTGAGTACTGGTGATCA